TCGAGAATCATTATTTAGAAAGTCAAGCGGTCAAACTCCAAAATAATTAAGAACAAAATAATTGATTTTTTTTTTGGTCGTGAACAAAATATATGATAAAGTTAGGCCAATCGGATCTTGATCTTTTTGAGGGATGTTTTTTCTTTTTCTTGTTATATTTGCTGTCATTCTCTTTGTTCCTTTTTTTGTTCTTTTCTTGTTTGAGTGTTGGATACGGACCGTATCATACCGTACGAATCGAAAATGCTAAAGTTGGCGTGATAAATCGGTGATTACTAATTGTTTATAATTATATATGATATATAATATAATCGGTGATTAATGTGGCTTGATCACCTTATTTTCATGTTAATATATCACATTGGAAAGAAAACTTGCAAACTACCCGCTTGTTAGAGAATTAATCCCATCTGATAGAAAACAAAAAGACATTTTTAAAGAGTTGTGATATATACAACCGAAAATCACTTGCTTAAATGAACAAGACAGATAATATTCCGATCAAAGAATTAGATCACCTTGTTGACACTTGTTTTTCATGCATGTATCCTTTATATGAAGTTTAACGTGTCATTGTGGTTAATTAGATCACCTAAGTATGCTTGTTCATAATACTCTGATTTATCTTCTTTATATTAGTAGAAGAGACACTAACTAAAAGATCTTAGGTGTCATCATAAGAAGGTTTTAAAAATTTTTTAATCAAAACTATTAAAACTCACAATCATATGGACCCGTATACAAAAAAATAGGTAGAGACTTATCTTCTTCATAAGTCTCTTTCTTTTCAATTATTATTTACGGCCAGACCTAATTTAATATATACCATTGATGATTGCCTATATAAGACACACGGATAGTAGTCAAAATCATACTCCGCAATCACAAATAGATCTCCAAGAAATAGCCAACACTCAAGCAATGGCTAGAGACGCAAGAATGTTTAGAAAGACGCATATATTGGAAAAGCGTACTCAAGCAACTCAAACAAGTGGTAGTATTACACCTATATCGATATAGTTATTGTTTTAGTTAGATAACAGCTTTTTAAATGAAGACAATGTTTTGAATGTTTTTATTAATACTTTTGCAATAAAAATACATTTAAAAGTTATAGTTTACATTTTATGTTGAAATTTTCTTAAATATATTGCACTATTAATTATTCTGATACTTTAATGCAGATGAGTTATGTTCTATAAAATACTTATTTAAGTATACTTGCATCGGTCAAGATTGAGTAACAGCCACAATTGTGAAAAATAATCCGCCTCGACAATGCGAAAACAATGAAAAGGATGAGATCCGGGATGATGATGATATTGATGAAATCGTAAACGATGAATCTGTTGACGAGTCTATGTCTACGTTGCATGGAAACTTGAAAAAGTGGCGTTTCCGTTTCGAAAATGTTTTGGAAACGGAAATACGACGGAAACGCGAGAAAACACGTTTCCTAAATATCCCGATTTGGAAACGTTTTAAAAACGCGAATTTTTTGGTTTTCTTTTTTTAAATTAATTTTGGTTTTTGAAGCAAATTAAATAAATATTTTGAAAATATAGGGATTTGTTTGATATTTTTAATAACTTTTAAAACCTAATTATTAAACACTAATACATTATTTTTCTCTAATCGTTACCGTAACCTAAAAACGTAGAAGAGTCGAAGAGATAAGCAAGATATTTTTTCAATTATAGTAGATTTGTTATTGATTATTGAAATTGTGAAGTCGTATACAAAAACGAGTGTTTTTTTGTTCGAGTCAGATTAGATTTGTGTTGTTTCAAATATTTTAAACCTATTGATAATTTTGGTTTCATG